GGAGGGTGTGCTGCCCGCTTGGGCCCGGCCGTGATAACGAGTCCTTCCTCTGCGGGCCAGAGCCGCCGTTGCCCGCTTGTAACGCGGGCGCTGTTTGAGCTTTGGCCCGGGGGTGCTTGCACGACGCCGTGCTCGCTGTGGGGGGGCTCCTGACGGCGCCCCGGGGTTGCTCGGTAGTGCCGTTCGGTGAGCTGAACGTGGCCGGTCGGGTCGTGCTCACCTGAGGGAATGGGCTTTACTGCCGTTGGGCGGCGGGTCTGTCCCGCAGTCAGCGTGAGGCCCGGCTTACCTTCAGCGAGCTGACTTCGGTATTAGTAGCCACCGACCCAACAGCCGGAACTGCAAAACCCATCTCCGAAACTGAGTAACTCCTCCCTGTGCCGACCCCTTCTGCTGCTGGTACAAAGCTGTCTAAGTCAAAGGGACTTCAGCCTTCCTGTCTGGGGGCAGCTGCGGTTTTGAGCGCAGTGCAGCTGCCATGGTAGTAATTACCATTGCTTTTGCTAAAATAATAGTAGAAATGGTTTTGCCCTGTTAAAAATACAGTTTGTTTGTCTGGTATGTTTAAGGAATCCTGTTGGTGAAAGTTGCATTAAGGTCTCTTCTGATACAGGGCAGTTTAGGGGCTGTTAAACGCAGGCTTTGTCTGTGCTGCAGGGTACAGTGCTGCTGTAGCCATCTCTCTCTTAGCTTTAGTATAACTCGCTTCAGCGCTGGGAGGTTAGAGATAAAGGTGGGCTCGATCCGTTGTCAGCCTTATCAGTACTTGAGCAAAGCAGCTTGCTGTTAGCTCAGGTATGACAATGTTGTCCTACAGTCACATGCTGAGTATCTTAAAAGCATCACTTAGTATGCTGCACCTGAAAATGGCAGTACTGGATGCTCAGGGGCAAGATGCACAGAGGTTAGTTAAGAACAGATGAAGAGACATGAGGATTAACAGAAGAGAGACCTGTCTTCTTCCTGGAGTAGGATTCCACATACCCAAATAGGCACCGGGCTTGGAGTTTGCTGCCTTCCAGAAAAGCATGTTAGCACTTGACACTTCATTGTTTTTTCTTAAGCAAAACAGCAGCTCTTCACTTCTGTACTTGTTTGGTTTCTTTGCTGTCATCTTGCCAGCTGTGAAGAGCATTTTGTGTGTTTTGGACAACAGAATTAATTCAGCTGCCAGCCATTGTGTGTCTTGAGGCAGGACAGCAACAAGCCCATAGTCTGCAGTTGCTGATGCTAGTAGAGTAATTCCTTAGGCTGACAGGTGAGCAGTAACAAGGCTTTTGTGAGAACCTAGTGCAGCCTCAGTTACTGCCTCTACTCCACTCGACGCTTTTGCAGACCCAGCTGACTCGGAGGCCTTAAGTGAAGGCAGTGTGAGGAATAGAGTGCTAAAACTGAGTGCTGCTGGATGCCTTGTGGAGCCCTGTTGTTCAGCCTTCTTTCTTTATTTCTTCCTTTGTCCTGTCCTAGGAGGATGCAGGGAGTTAAACCAGTGCTTGTTAAAATGACTGGGGAGGTGCGCAATATATTCTGGGAGAAGGAGGAGGATAAGAAAATAGTTTGAGAGCTGCTAATACAGAGCGTTAGACAACTAATCTGGGCAAGTTATCCTTATAAACTTGATATTAAGAGTTACCTATTTGGGTGACAAAAATAATCAGGTTCTTTTGGTTGATTAAAAAGGTACTTGGAGTTATTTACACAGCTATATGCAAAAGAGTCTAGACCAACACCTTTTCTTTCTGTTCATCCCTTTTGCTTTGCAAAAGCAAACTGGGCATCTTGTGTTGCTTGACAGTCTTGTGATTTATTGCCTATGTCCTTTTGGTAGCCTCACTTCTTAGAAAATTGTATGTATTTTAAAACAAGGTGACTGGCTGCAGCCTAGGTAATACCTAACTTTCCTGTACTTTGGCAAACGATATTTTTTTGCAGGCAGGGTAATTTAAGCTACTGACAGTGCACCAGGCAAGATTCTGATGTATGTTTTAAAGAACCCGGATTTAATCAGTGACAATAAATTTGAGCTGGCCTTTTGTCAGTGTCCTTGGAGGTGCAGAGCATAATTTTGCTGACTTCCTCTTGTAGCTTCAGCTGGATGGTAAAATTACTGAGCTTAATCAAGGTAAGTAGAGTCTGTGGAAGAACTTCAGAGGAACTTAGCAAGAGAAATTACAAGAAGCAATTTTATTCGTATACTAGTTTATAAATCAATGAAAGGAAAGACCTGGGCAGCATTGTTATAGATAAGTTAAAGCAGTGATCAGAAATGCAAACATACATGCTAGCTTGTGGATTTTAAGCCCCTAAATTGAAATCCAAATTCATCCTTCTAAGGCATTAAGAGTACAGCTGCGTGCTGCAGACAGTGGTGCTCACTGCAGGCACCTCCAGTAGCATAAATGTTCTGGCTCTCCCTGGAAACTGCAGGAGTGCTGTCATTCTTACTGTTCTTGGGTTAGACCAAAGAGTGGTCTCCACAGCTATTACGAGCTACTGCGAGGGGTGAATGTAGCTGTAGAGTTTAGAGAGCAAGCTTGTTTTCTGTTGTGCAAATATACTGTGTTGTGTTGTACTTGTAATTGTCAGCCAAAATATCTCTGTTGTATTTCCTCGAGTAGAAGAGCCCTTAGATCCCAATATCTTCATGGGGTTGTATAGCAATTGCCCCTCTTGACACATTATTGTGTAACATAGGATTTTTTGTACTTTCCACTGAGATGCCTGGAACATGGTACAGGATTAAATGATTCTCAGTTCAGTGCAGTTGTACTGGTTTGGTCCTCCACCATTGTCTCATATTAACGGTTAATGTAAAAGAAACCAGTAGAGATGTAGTTCTATTTTTAGGTTTCATATGTACCCTTTTAAGTAATTATGCTTACGTTGGCCCTTTTGCATTCTTATTGAGTATTGTCTTTCGTTCTAGGCAGCCATAGTGCTGTGCCTGGATGTAGGCTTTGCAATGAGCAGTTCTGCCTCTGGTGAGGAATCTTCACTTGAACAAGCCAAGAAGATTATGATGAAGTTTGTGCAGCGACAGGTATGTGTGACTTTACATGTAATAAAAACCTGTTAAAAAGGGAGAGGAAGCAATAACATCTACGAAATATTTTCATCATTACTAATAATTGAAATAAATGAGAAAGGAATAACAATTAGTCTGTGTTTATGCAAGAGAAGCAGTGCTCTTTGTTTCAGCTGTACTTTTGTGGATGAGATGTGGCAGTTGGATTGGTCACTCTTTTCTTCCGGGCAGTAGAAGCTTTTAGGGGACAAAAAGTACTCTATCTTTCTCTAAAATGTTTCAACATTGTTAAGACTTACCACACTGAAGACTCATTTCAAGGACTGAGTCAATTTTACTTGTTTTATCCCAGATATCCTCATGTCAATCTGTTTAATTATGGCTAAATTAGTGAGCTCTCTGTAGGATTACATTTTGGTAGGATAGCACTGAAAAAGTAAGAAAAAATAAATCCACTGTACTTGACATTGTTTCAAAATTAGTTCGTCTTGCTGGAGTCTGCCTGACATAGTTGTATATGAATCTACTTGTGTTTTTTATACCTGTTTTGTATTTTCTCTATTTCCAGGTTTTTGCTGAGAGTAAAGATGAAGTCGCTGTAGTTTTGTTTGGCACCGATGGTACCAGGAATGACCTTGCCAGTGGGGATCAATACCAGAACATTACTGTACATAGGTCACTAATGCTACCAGATTTTGATCTGCTGGAAGACATTCAAGATGTGATTAAACCAGGCTCTGAACAAGCAGACTGTATCCTTTTGTTGTAGAGCACTTCTTGAACTGATTCAGCTACATAGGAGAGAGGAAGTTAGTGTTGTGAAATGGGCTCAGATTTTAACTACTGTCAGAGTTCAGCTAATTTGTGGTTTTAAGTTTGTTCAAAAGCAGATTAGCTGCTTTTTTTGACATTCTTTTAGGCTAGCAGATGGAGTCTTGGCCTTAGGGAATCATTGCTTTTATGAAGTGTTCTGGTAATTAAAGAGAACAAAGATAGCAATAATATAATTTTAGGCCTCAAATAAGGCACGTGTTGCAGAAATATATATAGTGTTGCAGAATTTGGTTTATGCTTTTTCATCAAATAAAAATATCATTTATGAAATAAGTCAACAGAAGTATCAGAAGCCAGATAAAACAGCATAGAGGTTTATTGGATTGATTTCTATATGAAGTATTTCTAACATTGCTAAAGGTCACGTGCTGGTTTGAATGTTTCATGTTTGAATGTATTCTATTGTTAGTTGCTTAAGGTGAAGAGTTTTAAAAGGCGGCGATCTATGTGGTGTCCTTTTGTGTGTTTCACTTAAGTGTTCAACTTCCTGTGTTGTCTTCCCTCTTTCTGGCGATAAAAGGAATGTCCTGAGCTCTGTTCAGACTGTCAGAGCTGTTTCAGAGAAGTGTACAGCCAGTCAGCTGCATCTTAGCAGAAGCAGTCATGTTCCTTCTTTGATGGGTGTGCACGTTTGTGCGCAACAATAAAAGTATCTTCCCAATGAAAATTGTGATGAGGGAGAAACTATCAAGAGATTGCCAGATGCAGGTGTTTTGAAGGAAAACTTGCATGAGAAAATGGTATCCTGTTGAAAGTACAAGTAAATTTTGTTGATGGATTCAAAGCAACATTGTAAAGGTTAGATTACTGTTTCATTGTATTGAGCCTCCTCAATGACGGTTAAAAGACTGGGCCCTGAAGCAGGTTTTTTAACTGTTTGATCAGATAAATGAGGAAGAGACAAGATCATAAAACGGACAAGTTTTATAGGAAACTCTTGCACAGTAGATATTTGAAGAGTACTTGTCTCAAAATTGTTCACTTGTTAATGAAAATACATGTTTATCAGTTTTTAGGATGGGGTAAAAACAGAAGATTATTTTTTTTCATAGGAAAAGCACTTTTGTGACAGGTTTCATGTTCTAAATGAGATTTTTCTTAAATTTACTTAGTTCTGGATGCAATTATTGTGTGTATGGACTTGCTTCAGAAGGAAACAATGTAAGTATGTAACCCAAAGCCTTTTTACAGAATTCTGACCCTGCCCTTTTTGAGCTGATCTGATTTCTTGTCAGTATTACATTTCCAGTATTGTGTAAATATGAAAAATGTTTTTAAAAAAAAAACATTAAAAACAAACAACACACTACATGAATCTGTCCCTGAAGAATCCCCAGGAGATATCTAGCTTCTGCAGACAATCTGATGCAACTGGGAACTTTTCAGTAGATTCAAGAGAATAGTAAAGCCATTATACAAGGCAGAAAGACTCCTCTTAGTGTTGCATTTTTTTGTGATCTGTTTTCAAAAAACATTGAGATGTTAAAATGCATAGAAAAGAACTATCAAATGTATAAGGGTGATGTATAAAGGTTATCTTACAAAGAAGAAAAGAAAACAAAACTGGAAAGGTGAGTTTGTTCAGCCTAGTAAATTAAAGGCTGTTGGAGATAAGGTGGCTGTTTGTAAATATGTAGGCTGTGAGAGATAAATGTACAGTAGGAAAAAACACTGTGTAAGCTGACAGAAAATGTTGGCACAAGTGTTACACAGTTGTCAATGAGTGTGCTTTAGACTGGAAATGTGATGGTTACCAACAGTGAACTGATGGTCCAGGGAAAGGAAGATAACCAGAGATTTAACATGTTGTTAAAAAGATTATAGGATCTAATTGTCAATGCAGAAACTAGACTTGGTGATGCAATTTGTATTTTTTGAATAAAGTCTAATCAGTGTGGAAAGTTGTATCAATTTAATGGTTAAAACTGAGTTGTGAATTAAAATCACTGTATTTAGGGCAGTATAACCTTGAATACCTACGGAGCAACTGCTTTTCTTATCTTGTGGGTAAGGTGTTTGTATGCACCAAACCCTTTGATACGGAGTTTACCTTCAGTTGAGAAAATACCATCAGGTAAAAATTAAGAAAAACACCCTTATGCTTGGCCTATCCAGATAAAAACTGTATCAGTTTAACTGAATTTTGTTCTTTAGCTGGCAGAACTTTCTGATGTTTAATGTTACTACTTAGTGTATTAAGTGGGCTTTAAAGTCCATCTTGTCTAATGAATTGACTGAATTAGCTTACTAAAATAGAACCCCAACCAGCAACAGTAATTTAAAATACATTTTCCATTTTTACAGGGACAGACAGCTGCAAAGGAAATATCCAGTACAATCAATAAACAACCCAACATATTTTATTAGCATTTTATCTACATTGATGAAAATTGGCTGAATTCCATTTGTTTAGATGTATTTAGTGATTTATACGGTGACAGGGCTAGAGCCCTTAATTTTAGGGGGTAGGAGTGAGTAGGGGGAATCATATAAAGATAAAAACTTACCGTAAATAATATGACCAATGATAGAACAACTTCTACCAAGTAGGTTGGTTTGCCTTTTTCTTTTTTTACAAGTATATTACTTTGGTAAAGCTTCAATTTTGTAAGGGAAGAATTAGAAAAAGGTCTTACAGATAATATTTCTGGTATATGTAAATGTTCTTTTTGTATTTTAAGAGGAAAGAAATATGAGAAGAGACACATTGAACTGTTTACAGACCTTAGTAGTCCTGTCAGTGAGGATCAGCTGGAAATTATCATTGCTAACTTGAAGAAAACAGGAATTTCACTTCAGTTTTTGTAAGTATGGAAGTGGCTGTTATACACTATGCCATTTTTGAAAGGGAAATTATTATTCTTTCTTAATGATCTTGAAGGAGCTGATGATCTGTTGATGTATTGTTTCTATGGAGGTGTACCAGTATGTAATATGATTGTTATACTTCTATCAATTACACATGCCATGAAGTCCAGTTATGAACCAAGTCCCCTTGATTAAGTGATGTGCAAATACACGTTAAGAGGATGGCTTCTTCTCCAGCTAAGCTTATAGCTTAGAGCCAAAGTGTCTGCTTATATAGATCTTTTGTCTCCCATTTTAGAAGTGGGAAACAATGAGCCAGAAATAGCTTCAGAAACTGGTTTTGTGACAGCAGCATCCTACATCCTTTTAGGTAAGGGATTTACTGGGAAGAAATAATGAGGTAGTGTTGCAGATGTTTATTGCCCCATTCTGGTGTCAGTAGAAAAGCAAGTCTGAAGAGAAGGGTTGTATTCACAGTGGTGGGCTTGGAAAATGGAAGCATCGCCTTAACTGTTATGGCAGGAATCCCTTGGCTGTCTTGGTATAGGTATAGACATTGATCTGAAGAATCAATGGTGGTGCCAAGATCTGTATTAATTGTTGCACCTGATGGTAACGTAGGAAGATATAGGCCTCTTAGTAGGAATTTATTTAAAAGCAAAACTTTGTGTGAATGTTAATGTTTGCTGTTTATAACAAGTAGTTTCACAGGAGAAAGTTGAACTCGCAGTTTTACTTTTGACCATTTTAATATTTACTTTCACCTAGATCCAGCAATCTGTAAGGAGCAATGTTGTGAACTTGTTAAATTCAATAAAGCCATTTGCAGACCCACCTGTAAGATAACAGAGGGGTTAAGTAGGAAAGTGTGACTGAAAATCAGGGCTGGTCCTCCACAAAAAAAAAATCTTTTTTGGCTATGCTTGGGAGACACTGAATGTAAAAATGTCAGACTACTCTCAGGTTCTGTCTATGCAGCAAAAGAAGGTATGCTTGCAACATGCCTTGACATGTCCCTTCTAGCTCATTTGAGCTATTGTTGGCACTGGAGGCAGTGAAAACACAAGACTATGAACCTCAGTACATGCTGCCAGCCAGAGTGCATCTTTCAGAGACCTGGTATTTAGCCCCTGCTACCTTGTCTCCATACCTGTAGTTTGCTGTGCAAACTAGCACAGATGCTACCACCACAAGTTAAGGTTGCAGTTTTATTCTGTGAGATTTCTGATACTTTTCTACATTTTCTTTGTCTGTAACGTAGCAAAGGAAAAGCCCCATGGCTAATAGAAGCACTAGGGAAATTTCCTGTTAAAGGATTAGCTGCAGATTTACACCCTGTCTTCCAGCCACATGAGCAAACGACGCTTTGAGAAATACATGTACAAATGTAAAATACTCAGGATACTGGTTTAAAAATAATTTCTCACTAAACCTTGTCTTTTTTTATAACCCATGCTTCCATCTCTTACACCCTGTTTATTGATTAGGTTGTAACTTGTGGCAGATAGTTGCTTTTCCTCCCTGTTACCAAGTGCCAAGCACATGCTGAGCACTCTGTAGCTTTGAATATTACACAGCTCTCATCACAGGAGTCTCTAAGCACTATAATGAAAGTAATCTAACTTTTATATATCAGAGGTTTGAAGCTTTTTGCTCTCATAACAGCTTTAAAATACAGTTTCTCTATTTGTCAGTGGATACTGTGTCCTAAAAGGGTACCAAACACTTTGCTGAAGTTTGATCTTTAATTCTGCTGTATTTGTGCATATTGTTAACTCTGCTTATTATATGTTGCTCCACAGATAATTTTAGTGAGAACTAATGAGGTGAAAAGTAAGGTTGAGATCTGTAGGCTACTTTTTTGAAAACATAATACAATTCTAAAATTCTTTTACTTTGTGGAAATGTGGTAAAAGGTATCATGTGGTTCATTCAAAATTGGATCAGACAAAAGATTTGAAAAATCTGCAGGCATTGTCAGGGGCACAGAGTAGAGGATCTTGCACATCTCTCTTTTCTGTGGTTATTATACTTAGTTAACCGTTAGATTCTGAAGAGCAGCAAAATCATTTTATCTATAACCCCTAGCTAAATTTTTAAATCTTATTTTTGAAGTGCAGGAAAATGTGACATCTTCAGTCAGAAATTCACCTGGTGGTGTAAGCTATTAAAATCTCAAAGAGTAACATTTGTTCTAGAAATACCTAATAGCCCTACTGCAGAGAAAGTCCCATTTGCTGGCATTTGGAGCCGATACAGAATCATAGGCCTGGAATGGCCTTTAATAAGTCATCTAGAGCAATCCCCTGCTTCAGACTGGGTTAGTTGTATGTATGTCACTGCTGAGTGGTGTTTGTCTAATCTTTACAAAAACAATTTCCAGTGATGGAGACTCTTACCTCCTCAGGCACTTGGTTTTAGAGATTATGATTTGAAGTGCCTCTATCAGTTTTTTGAATATCTGACCTGACTCCATGATGTAATTTGAGTGCAGGCTGAATATGAAGAACCAATTGTTCCCTTCCTTTCTGCAACAGCCTTTTACATTTAAGACTGTCTTGCCCTCTGACTCTGTTCTCCACGGGCTTTATTTTGCTCAGTCTTTTTTCATAGATCTTGTTTTCTAATCATCATTGTCTTTACTCCCTTCCTGTATGCGGACATCTTTATCGACGTACGATGCCCAGAACTCATGCAGCACTCTGGTCAAGATGTTACCAATGCCAAGTTATCCTGAAATACTACTTCATGTGTTTTGCAAGCCATGCAGCTCTTTATATGTCTGACTGCAGCTAGATAGAAATTGTTGATCCTGATATAATTTGTTTTGTTTTTGGTTGGTTATTTTAATTAAGAAGAAAGTCAAACTAACTGCTTCTGCTTGTGTTCTTAGTCTGCCATTTCCAGTGGATGTTGATGATGGAGGTGGAGATATAAGTGCCAGTGTGCATTCTCAAATGCACAGAAACTCTCTTCCAAGAAAGGGTTTAACTGAGCAACAGAAGGCAGGCATTGATGTGGTGAGGAAACTGATGCATACTTTGGATGAAGAAGGAGGGCTGGAAGAAATTTATACTTTCAGGTAAACTTGGCTAATCTTCTTTATCACACTGTAAATTTACTTTCTTATTTCTTCCCCAAAAGATGAAGTGGATTAGGTAATCGGTCACTTGGCTTCCAGTTTCACTGAAGTCAGTGGATTTTATAACTATTGTACACTCACTCCATTTCAATCAGCTTCTTCAGTGGCTTTAGAATAGGTAGAAAAGCTTGCAGATTTCAGTGGCAAATTAATTTTCTATATCTGTATTTAAAGAAAAAAAATCAGTTTTCTTTCATCTTTAGTGTTGGTGGATTTTGGGGGGGAATGTTTCTATAAATGAGATTTCAAAGGCATGATTTGGAGAGAGTTGGAATTTGTGACAGTGCAGGTCATTTGCATTTAATGGTAGCCTTTGTTCCTTGGTCTCAGACTTCTTTTAGCTTGCTAGTTTATCAAACTCACACAAATGTTTTGATTAATGTTGTTTGAATCCTGCTCTTTAATCATGGATTACTGTGCCACAGCACCAAACAAGGTACTTTTATAGTAGCATTCCTAATGCAAGAATTGAAAGATGATTTTTCACTTTATGTTTCCCCAATGAGAGAATAAAAATATACGTGTGTCTCTGAAAAGCTGCAGTTAATGATCTATCCAAGACTTTTCCACATAGGTGTTGCCTCATTTGGGAAACAAGGAAAATGCATCTATGAACCTTAAAAGTCTGATTTTATTGTCTCAGTGGTTCTATTCTGCAATTATGAAGTGTGATCTTTTAGACAATGTGTTTTTCAGGAAAATTAGTAGACCATAGCTGTCATGTGATTATCAATTGTAATTTTTAGATGAGGTTTGCATGTCATTATTCATCATTTTATTTGTGGGATTTCCTTCCCTCACCCTGCCTAACCGATCTGCTTTGCACCTCAGCAGCCAGTTAAACTGTTATTTGAGCATTAGTATGGATTAGTGAAGAAGCATGTATCACTGTGTATGTATTCCATGCTAGTCAACAGAGCAGTCTGAGTCTCTAGGAAAAAAAGCAGGCTTTGTCATTGCATCAAAAGACTGCACAGAAAAGCAGTATCTTTCTGGGCCCATTTATCCTTTAGGATAATCCATATGCATGAAGCTACTATGTCGCTTGGCCCTTTCTTTATATTTTTTTTATTGCAGTCTCTTGCTACTTTATTATCTGTCTTTGTGCCATGCTTTCAGGGGAAATCCAAAATCTTCGGTTAAATAGGCATTTGGCTAATGGATTAAAGCTTTAGTTGTTTAAGAGTATGTGAGGTGTTAGATACAGTTAAGTTGCTTATCAAGCTTTAAGAAGTTAGTCTTTCAAATCTGTTGTAATAATTTACCAACTCAGATACACTCTCAATTTTCCTATATTCATT